AGATAGATAGATAGATAGATAGATAGATAGATAGATAGATAGATAGATAGATAGATAGATAGATAGATAGATAGATAGATAGATAGACAGACTTCTGTCTGTTGTTCTTCTTTCATGTTTTATTTTTTTCCATTTAACATTATGTTGTGCTTTACAACTCTCATAATTCTTGATTTCTCGACAAAACTGGTATCTAACGACTTTTCTCAGACGTCAAATTTTTAAAACAAAGTAAGACGAACAAAAATCCCAGCCACAGAGGGGAGGTGATCTCACCGATCTCAGCGAGAGCAGCTGCCACCTCGTTTTGAGTGGAGTAGATGTTGCAGGCGGTCCAGCGACACTGGGCACCAAGAGCCACCAGGGTTTCAATCAAGACCTGAGAGGAGACGATAACGTATGCATTAAAACCCAGCAGCAGTAAGATGAACCTGCAGCTGACAGGACGGGGGGACKTACAGCTGTCTGAGCAGTTATATGGGTACAGCCCACTATCTTCGCCCCGGCCAGAGGTTTCTCCCCCTGAGCCCTCTTCCTCAAGGAAATCAGTGCAGACATGTCTGGTGTTGGAAAAACACAGCACAGTTAAAAGGTAACAAGTTTTTTTACCAGTTACTGCCCTAAATTGGTCACAAGTGTACATGTATTTAACCCATAATAACATATAAACAAAATGAAGAAAATGTGCAGCAGCTGGTCAATCAAAGAAAGTCATTTTTTAATGTTATCGTAGACGACTGAATTATAGATGAAAATAACTAAGTAGACAGAAGTTGCTGGTAACGAAGCAGTTTGTTGCAAGAATGGAAACCAATCCAGCTGTTTGTGGATTAAAACCTCATAGTGGCGTTAGTGAGAGGGTTTAGTTTTGGTTGAATGAAAAGTGAGAAACTGGGTTTAAAACAGGAAACTGGCTGAAMAGTAGCATCAGTAATGAAACAACTGTTGTCACTTAAGTTTTGGACTTTTACAGAACAAAACAGAAGCACACTAATTTATATCTCTAAACCTAACTCGTAACTTAAACATGGTGTTCCATCAAATTAGGACCAGGCTTTGGTCCCCAATAAGGACTACTGGTCCTGAAAGTTCCTAATAAGGCAACAAAAATCAGA